CAGGAGTGGCTCTCAGGATATTGCAACTCTGTCTGCTTCCACCAGAGATCATAATTGGGCTATGAATTTTTATAACAGGAAAATCTTCTCGTCATAGACAGAGACTGACAGAAAGTTTAGTGAATGTCAAAAGATCCTCTGAGCAGTCTGAGTAGTTAATGTGCGTGGATATCACGTAAATATACAGATACAGTGTCTTCTTTCTGGTTTTTTTTTTTTCCTCTTTTAAAATAAACATGTTATAGTACATTGGCTAGAGCATCTACAATACAGATTGAATCTGAGTAGTGATCATGGGACATTGCTTTTCTGCCCAAGGACATTATATATACTTTGGGGAATTCAAAAAGCCAATCAAGATGAGCCAAGGTGACTTATAAATCGAAAGCAAATGATAGCAGAAGATGTGAGCTACAGCTGTTCCTTCATCTGCGAAGAGCTAATTGGCAGCTCTTTAGGCCAGGGCTCTGAAGATGCATCCCATGAACCCTGACTCTCAGGTGTTGTGCTCATGGTAGACATTCAAGGAAGGAGTTGTTAATGACAGGGAAAACCTTTTCAGGGTATCCTTTACAACAACTCTGCAGATGTATTTCAGAAAGGAGAGAAGGATAAAGTAATGAGTGATTCCAGGGGACAAACTCTTTACACAATCCTTTTTTCTTATCTAAGGAATATGAAATTGAAGAATTTGTCTATGAGCTCTACCCTGCCTCACAAAACCTAGCTGGACTTTTGTCTTTTTCAGACATACCACAGCTTAACCCAGCCTTATCTATTACTTGGTTATTGTCAGGGAAATTTCAGTTTCATGTTTCTCAGTCTACAATTGTATGTGGAAGATTGAATACAGCGTATAAGACTTGTATATTTCCAGAATAACTCATGGTTCCTACTGCTGCCAAAATTATTTAATGACAATCTTGATTCAGTTAATGATTATTTAAATGTCATAACCTACCATCAAATGTCCAGCTTAGTATTTCTAGGTAAAATGAAATAAACTACATTGACATCTTAGTTTTAAGGCATTCGACATGAACGGAGAGAAAGACATTGTAGGTTTTCACAGTACTATATGGGGCCAGGTTTTTGAGCACTTCAGAAACAAAACAAAAATTAAAACAAAGCAAAACAAGCAACCACAAAAAATACCCAGAAAGTGGAATTGTAAGTTATGTCTACATGGGATTGTGAAACTGAATACTATAAGAAGCTTCCTTTACCACTCTGCGAATGTTATAAAATATCATATATGATTGTCCTTAAGTTAGTTTTCAAAGATATTATGTAGAAAAATTACTCAAACATTCTGTACATCACTATAAAACTCTTTTTGAATATTTTTTATCCCCGGAAGTAATACATATAAGTTTGTTTTGGATCTTAAAATTACTAAGAAAGATTATTGCTACTGGCTTATGGTTGCAAAGAAAACATGGGAATTTCTGTGAATTCTTGGGTCCTCTTTGAAGCAATTAATAAGATGTTCATTCAAAATATATATTTCTAAGTGTTAGTTTACTCTTACACTAAATTTTAAGTATATATAAATAATTTATCACTGAGAAAATAGTCTTTTGATTTATAAAGTCAATACAGAATCACAGAAGTTTAGAGGAAAAAGAAGTCTCTTCATGATTGTCTAATTTAAATGTTTTGATTTCACCATGTAAGAAAATGAAGACAGATGCTGAGTAGCCTTGCTGTGGCCGCGGCGCCATGCATGTGGACAGCTAGTCTGCTGCAGGTGCTCCTGGCCTGTGTCCTACTGAGGTTACAACGACATGAGGTATTTTAAGGTTTTGTAGACATTTTCAGTATGAAACAATGTTTTCATTTTTTCCTTTAATGATACCATAATTAGAAAATACATAGAACAGAACAGCAAACATTTTCTCTTAGGGTGGTATTTGTTTATTTCTCTTGGGCATCAGAATTTTCTTTGCTCCATAAGAAATTAAGTTGCAAATGAAGTAGAAAATCCTACATGGTAATTCAAGTGCATCACATTAAAAAAAAAAAAAAAAAAAAACCAGAATATCTAAGTTAGCAAAAGGAGTTTACATGTCATTAAGTCTTAATTAGTGCCCTTAACCTAAATCTCAAGAGCTAAAAATTAGGATCTTAGCTTGAAAAAATAACACTTCATTCCTCAAAATCAAGATTCATGGGCTGGTGAGATGGCTCAGTGGTCTAAAGCACCTACTTAGAACAAGCTCAGCAAAGCACAGGGACCCTGGTTCAATCCCCCAGCACCACATGCCAGCC